TCTCCGAGACCGCCCGAATTCGTCCCATAATTAAGCGTTTGATTATCGGACTAATCGCAGCGGGCGTTTCCAAGCGGAACGGTCGGCACAGTTGATTTCCGACGCCCGGATCGGAATAATTTAATTTATGGCGCACCTAAATGTTTATTAACGCCGACGTCGGCGCGGCCGATAACGCGAAGGGGATGATTGATTAACCTCGCGGCGAATCGGTGATCGCGGATGCTCCTTGCGCGCTCCGAGGAGGTCACGCGATGCTTCCCGACATTATCGCGACTGGAACGGCCCGTGAAACTTATTATATTATTTCGGACGGACACACGGGGCGCTTTCTCAATAGAATTACTGCGTTGTCCCTGGTGTTACGTGTTCCTCTTACGTCAAGGAGGTGTGCTTCCTCCTCGCCGACTTAGCCGAGGCTGAATCGACGTCGTGGTGCGATCGGAAGAAGTAATAAAGTGCTTAAAAGCGCGCGACTGGAGAGACTTTTCCCCATACTCGACGTCACAGTTTCTGGAGAATTATACGACTCACGTAGATTAAGGTATATTGCAGTTGGTAATATAAAGACGTTCTACGTGGAAGTTCGTTTTTTTATTCTTCGTTTCTTTTTATTTCCTCTTACACGGTTTGCGCAAAGTACCTCGCATTTTCCTTCACCTACCGATTTACGGCAAAAGTGACGTTAATAGCACGAGAGAGAGAGAGAGAGAGAGAGAGAAAATACAGAAAAAAAATTAATCTTCAAAAACCTCATATAAGCAAGAATATTATAATCTTCTTGGAAGATTTTTAGTCTCGATCTGATCGGATTTGTATTGATGCAAGTTTTACTTGAACTCAACTCCGGAGTAAAAAATCTCCTAAGAAGAATTATAATATTTTTGCTTATAAATACATAATCTGAATTTAAGATTACCTTTTCTCTGAGTAGCTGCGCACTAATAAGAGAGAAACCTCGGTGGATCGTGACGAGACGTTCGACAGCGTCGGACGAATTGAAGCGTTCATGACGGCGCGTCAAAATCGGAGAAAAGAGTCACGAACGCGCCGAGTTAATCGGACTGCTTGTTTCGCGAAGAATAAACGCTCCCGCGAGCCTACGAAAGTAGTTCCCGCGAACTATCGAACTCGGAAGAGTGTTCCGGATCAGTTCTCGTGATCCCACGGGAGCCACGTGCGGAACGCGGGGTTAAGATTACATCTGAATAACACCTCTGATCCTCTAGTTAGTTACACGAAACTTGTACCTTGTGCGCGCGCGCTCGCGAAAGTTCCGCAGTGGCGAATATAACGCAGCGATTGACAACTCTTAATAAATATCGCACGGACGCGTCACGGAGGCTCTTTTGCGCGCGACGCTCGGGAATCCGCAAACGGGAGCTCTACGCAGGCTGAGAAACAATCGTGATTATTTTGCACAGCGCTTCCGATAACCGTAAACGAATCATTCGGGCGTGAACGCGCGGCGGGAGCGCAACTGGGTTTTTCAAACATCGATTGTGTAAATAACGTCGACTTGTTGTTAATTCATCGTACGAGTTATCACGGCCGGTGCGTATCGTCTTCTAATAACAACAGGGTTTCCAATTACGCGCTATCCAAGTGCAGAACAAATACAGAAAAGCGAAACAGCGAACGGAGATGGAGAGAGAGAGAGAGAGAGAGAGAGAGAAAGTTACACATCGCGGAAAATATAAATTATTGTATAATCGGCCTCGAATATAACCCGATTTTACGCACACCGAGAAAAGAAAACACCGCCGTGTTGGAAATTAAAATAACAGCTAATTGGTCAAGCATATTTTCCTTTTAATTTAACCGTTTGGATTCTTCTCGGCTCTTATACGGAAAAAAAAGTTTGGTTGATTTTACCAGACAAACAGTGAATAAAGTAAACGTGTTTTTTGGTTGAAGGAAACGGAATTTCCAAATTTCGGTTGTAATCAGGATATCAGCTTATAATCAGAAATTCTGTTTCCTCCAACGAAACCGCGGTTGGCTTATTCACTATCCGGTAAAATCGACCAAACTTTTTTTCCGTGTAAGGAAGTTGGTCCGAGTGGTATGAGTAGTTTGATAGCGATAATTAAAAAAAAATATATATTAGAAGCTGTTTTTGTATTTGCGATACATGTAAATAGTGCAAACTTTGGCTTCAATTATATCAGCTTCGGGCAAAATAATCTCTTTCTAATTTCTAAAATTTCCCGTCGATCGTGTTTCGACTGATATGCCGTGAAAATGTCGAAAGGATTCGCGAGACAGCGAATTTACGAACTATCTTAACGCGTCGAAAGCGTCGCTTACTTTCTCCCTCGATATTAAGCGATACAGCGATGTTTATTCGGCGCTAAATTAACCCTCCTGGAGTGCACTCAAGCCTAACTTACAGTCAATGGCGAGCCTACCAGCGTTCCGAAGCTCGGCGCGATCGAGTTCTGGCCACGATGTTCGAGAGATTACGGGATACTCAATTAGGGGATTCAGTGTCATAGAATTCGAGAGCCCCGGATTAAGGGCTCTTATCGTGCGAGTAACTTTGGATTATACGGCGCGCGGCGCGGCAATTCCGCGACCCGCGCATTTCGGCCCGCTATCTGCGAGATAACGGCTCGCGAACTGCTCCGAAAGATGCTGCAACGTCGTTCGGCTACGTCGAGATCGCCCGCCGTTGCGGAAGCGACAAACCGTAAAAGCGCGCGTCAACCCCTTTTACAATTTGATCGAGTTCGACGCGCCCTTTTCACGATCGTCGCTCGACCAGCGATATTTCCGCAGAATATCTTTATCCGAAGACGATTCCTTACTGAACTGCCCAGGATAATAAAGGTGTGATGATAATAAAACCAACTGATGATGATAGAGATTGATAATAATTAACAATGAACATTAATAAGTAATAAATTACGCGCGCATTGCTACTGCGACTTTTCGGATTAAAATCCGAAGAAATACAGTTGAGATAAAAAAACGACTGTAATTACAATGGGAATTCTCTCGGCGTGAATTTTCCCTCTCGTCGAGCGAGACTCCTCTGCGAGTAATTTCAAGAGTACACGGGATGAAGAGTGTCCCGCATAAATAGTCGATACGTGAGTTCTGGCGCAACGTCGGTAACAGCAAGTCGCCGGTAATTTAATCCGGCGGCGCGAAAATTCGCTATTTCACGACCCTTTCGCGACGCCCGGTTCAGCGCGGGACAATTTCGGACGGATCACCTGGCGCGAGTCATAAACGAGTTTCCGTAGTGGCGAGATATCGGGACACCTGTTCAAGGTGCGTGCGACTAGCGCGCGCGGTTATTACAGCATCGGCGGTCTCTCGCGAGAATTCCGCCGCTCTCTCGGAACGCGGCGCGCAAATCCCGCACACGCAGTCTTATTGATCCGCGGAGGAGAGGCGGAATAACGAACGATACGGCGCACAGTTTGTTGCGATTACTTCGGCTCCTGGCTATTTGTTTTCCATAGCGGCGGTATCGAGCCCGGCAGCGGGAAACAATTTCGCGCGGCGCGGGACTGACGTGGCTGAAATATCGCGAGGAATGTCATCCAACGTATATCACGCGCCGTGGGTATGAGTAATACCCACCGGGGGCGAACTCAAGTTCTTACGAGAACGACATTCATCGCCCTTCGGAAACGTGCCGGACGCCGGGAGAATTTCTCATCCTCGCCCTCTCATCGCCCCTCCGACGCGCGCGACGCGCCCGCCGGCATAATTAGCGACCGGCTCGATCACCGGGCGACACGGAAGGATATTTCTTAAGAATTTCCGCAAATTTGGACAAGCTTAGCGAGATATTTTCCGATACAACGGAACTTCGCGACGTTACCACGCGTAGACACTTCCCCGGCTTTTTCCCCCGACTTACAGCGTAGATTCTGATTAGAATCCGAGCCAAGGTTGTCCCAAAATAAGTTGTCCCGCTATGACTCCGATCGGGAATCCCGTTCTTATCCCAAATATGGGATAAAGCCTCTCTTTTGCAATGCTGCTGCTGCCGAGTAGAATCCGTTCATATTTCCCACTTAGAATCGCACGTTTGAAACATTGCACATCTGATCAGAACCTGCGTGAAAGTCCCGACTAGAATCAATCATCATTTTGGTAAGAGAGAGGAGACGCGTGAAGGAAATTCCTCGAGATCTCCGACGATTCCAACGTGCTTTGGAGAAAGAAGAAAACAAAACGAGAATCTCTCATTCGGCCGGGGGTTGTCGCTCCCCCTCCGGCGGAGATACACCGCGCGTCTCGGTCGGTCGTAAGCATCAATTAAAGTTAAACGGGCTTTAATCGATTCTGCGTCTCTGTCTTCTGCTAGACACCCCGACGACGGCAGGGAATCAGTTAGATTCTGGTTAGCGTTAATTAGCGTCTACGGGAACTGCCCCGTTAGGGATGTTACAACGTCTTCCGGCCCGGTTGAATGAAGTCGAGCGGCAAATCGCGCAGTGTGTCCGGATGAATTGATCCGGCCTCTCGCATCTGTCCGGCGCTACACTCCGGCGATAAGCCTCGATAAGCTATCAACAACTTTGCGCATCGGCCTGACCTCGAGCTGCCCTCAAATCGCCGAATCCCTTTTCCCATATCACTACGCGAGCGAGGTATCGCCGAACTTTCGCGCGTTGTTCCATAATCCAGCGAATCTCTCTCGTCACGCGACCGCGCACCAAGCTGTGTCACCAGCTGCTTTCCCGGCCGGGTCTTAGAGCGACCGCCGAGTCAGGGAAAGCCCTAAATCGGAAGCTTCGGATCTGCCGAGAGCATTGAAAACAGCATAATCTCGCTGAGTGCGACCCCCCAACGATGCGGTTCTGCCGCTCCCATCCTCGCGAGCATAGAGAGACACGGGGGTTGACCGACCATCGGAGTCGTGGACGTCGCTTCCGATGGAACGGTCGTTCCATCGGCAAGGAGCATCGCGGAAGAGGAGGCGCGTTAATCCGTTAATCACGGCCGAAAATGGTCGAGACCGAAATGGTCCCACTCACCGGTCATCGTAGACGAAACCCGCTTGCAGGGTGTTGCAGTAGAGTGCCGTCGCGACGAGGGCGCAGGCTACGGCGAGGATATCCATGTCACATCGTGCCGAGGAGGCTGGCGGCGACAGCGACGTCGACGGCGGCGGCCTCTTAACTTGTTGCACGGGCCTTCCTCCTGCACCGCTGCCACCAGCAGCAGCACCACCTCCTCCACGTCCTCCTCCTCTCCCGCCGCCCCTGCGCCTCCGCCTGACGCCGGTTCTTCGCGCGGCGGCCGAGACGTCCGCCGGACGATCGAACGACCGCCGATCTGACGCCGCCTGCCCGGATGGTTTCCGCGCGGGATGAATGTCGGTGACGCGTTCCGAAGGTGGCCGATCTCGCCCGGCGCGACCGCCAGGTGCGACGACGCTTCACTTCGCCGGGGACGCGGTGGACATGTCGGCCGGAGGGGACCGTTCCGGGAGGAGCGCTCGGGGAGGCTCGATCTCACCGGGTCTCGCGACGATAATCCTCGGGGAAGCGCGGCGAAGTCAGCGGCGTTCCCGTTCTTATCACTATTCACTGACGCACATTACCGCGATATCCGGAGCGAGAGAGAGAGAGAGAGAGAGAGAGAGGGAAAGCACACTCGGTAGCTCTCTCGACCTCTCGCGCGAACGAGCGCGTCCTCGGCTGACGGGGGAGAGGCGTCGTCGAGCCGTCGCCTCTTCCTCGCTCGCAGAATCGAGGGAATCCTTCGGCGAGTCGCCCGGACGAGAGCCGGAGGACGCGGATCCACGGAGCGGGCGGGACCGCCGCTTCCTCGCGGTCCTCCGCACCGGCGGACGATGCTGCTCGAACGGAGGCCGGATCGCCACGACCGCGGCTGCCGTTGTTGACGACGCACCGACTCGCACCGACTGCTACGGCGACGACGATCAGAGGTTCCCGGCGCGATCGGCACCACGCATGTTCCGGATGCGGAACGCCAACTGTCGCGCGCCCCCGAGGACGAGAGCTTTATACGCGGGAGACGGGCATCGATCGGACAGGCGCTTGCGCTCGCCCGTTCTCCTAGTCCTCCTTCTCCACCTCATCCTCTACCTCCTCGCTCCCCCCGATGCTCACCTCCGCCACCTCCTCCTCCTCCACCACCATCTCTTCCCGCTCTTCGTCCTCCTCGTTCTTCTTCTATCGCGCTACGCATCCGCGACCGCTCGCAACGACCACGACCGCGGCCAACGGACCGGATTAACCGCAACCCCGGGGACAATGCTGACCGATGGACGTCCTTTTGGAAAATGACGGGCCGCGGTGCACGTGGCGCGCGCCGATGGAGCGAGAGAGAGAGAGGACTTGAGACATTTTCCGCCGGACGGACGGACCGTGAGGGAATTGTGTCCGTCGGATTCGGTCGGAATCGTCGACGGGGAAAACGGAGCTCGCGGTCGGGGAAACGTTTGGCTCGGGAATCGCTACCGGGGCGCGGCGATTAAGCCGCCGCGAGAGGAACTTATTTCGCCGTTCCCCGGTGTCACGCGGGGGGGAGACGCGTTTATTCGGGCCGCTGTTTCGAAATATAATCGGTGCTTCCAGTTGTGGAATCGAGAACGACACGGGTATATCCGTTCACGAAGAGAGGGAGAGAGAGGGTCTTCCGCTCGAGCCGCTTCGCGAAAACGCGAGGCGCAGAAACGTTGTCTCTCGCTAATTTCGAAAGTGGGACGAGTCGAGTGCCGCGGAGCCAGTCGATGTAAATAATGGAAGGTGCGCGTGCAAATGTGCGCTCGATCTCTCGTCGCCTTGACGACGCTTTCTAAATTTGTCTCGTATCGAGATGAGAAAACCCGCGGTTTTAAAAACGACTCCGTTAAAGTTACAGCCATTTCCGGCCGCAATTATATATCTTCTCCGAGTTTCGACCTGATAAATACTAACAGCAACTTCAGTCGAAATTTCACCTCTCGTGAGACCCCGTTTTTTCCACAACGTGATGAAGGAATTAAGATCACGCTTTGGAACTACAGTTAACGTCTGAAATTTCCGTCATCGAACTTTTCAATAAAAAAATAGGCCGCTTTAAGTATTCATACGAACTGAATATAATCGAAATATCGGGAATATTTATACACCGAGAGAGATCCCAATAAAATTACGTTGTACTTACTAGAGAAACGTTTATCTTAACGACTCGAATTCCTTCACCGATGCGATTATAGTTGCAAATACCAAAAGTGTTTTCTTCTCGGCGCGTACACAGGAGGAGGTGGGCCCCGGCCGCCGGCGAAATTTCCACCCGCATCCGTGATCCTCAGCCGCCGATGCAAGATTCATTCGCCGGGCTGCGCGTGCACGGTGTGTTCACGCGCAAATACGCGATATTTCGCAGACGACGTGGGGCTCGCGCGGATCCCGAGCCGGCCCAGCTTAGGGGGGTTGCTGTCGTCGTAGTGCGCGCGCGCTCCTAGTAGCTTAATCCGTCGCCGTACGCGTAACGTCGGCGATTCGTCACTACGGGTACGCGTAATTAATTGTCGGAACCGACGCCGTGAAACCCGTGCATTTATCACGCGTATTATAGTATACGCAGGAGCTTGTTATTGTGCTAACGCTGGACTTAGACGTCCCCCCTCCCCCCCCGGCCGCCATTGTATCACAAACAAGAGGTTGCGCGCGCCACCCGTAAACGCCTCAATTATTCCGAGCGCGTAACAAAAGTAATTCACGCTCCGATGAACCGCGATTAAAGATCCAGCGGAAACTGTGGCTTACTCCTAATGCGGTAATTAAGCATTTAAACGCTTAACTCACTCCTGACGCGCAACTGCGCGATGCCGGCCGGCGCGCTGTGTATAAACGAGAAGGAACGGCAGCAAACCGGGCTGAGGCCGCGAGCGAGGCTGTGATAACATATGAACGTGATATCAGCGTTTCTCTAATTAACCTTGCTAATTTACGATGTGCATATATATATATATATATATATATATATATGTACATCTATCGTTAAACTTCTGTCCTAATAACGCACTCCCGAGTAGCCGGGTACGTTTTCTTGCTCGCTCACGAGTCCCGTTCGCAGCATTCAATTATATTCTCAATTAAATAGCGACACAATTCCCGACGAAACGGGATCCTCCTGGTCCGAGTGACGGTCCGAATTAAGAATAGTAATTCATCAGGCTCAATAAAGCCGAATGTCCGCCCGGCTAGCGATCCATCTACGAGTAACGACGCCATAGAAATACAAATTAACCGCGCTCGTAACACTCTGCAATTACCCGGCCCGGTGCTTAACTTCCCGGCCATATGGGTCTGACGAACGAAGGGTCGCTCGCGGGGTGCGGGGGTGGCATCGTGTTCCCCCTCCTCCCCCGAGGTTGACAGTAAACAATACCGTTCACGAAGAAGGGAGTTCGCGAAGCCGTTTGCGTAGGGTCTCCGTCTCGAAGAACAAGGGATCCTATAGCCTGCGGTCGTAGGACACGTCGGTGATCCTTTGTCCTTTCCTAGATAGAACACGTGCGACGTCCGGTGTCGACCTTCTCCCCGTTGCTATTAGGATTATTATATCGAGGCCAAGTTGCGATACTTTGTATCAATATCGGTTTCGGCCCCAAGTCGGAATTCCAGCTCTACGTTAAATCTTTATTATCTTTAATTCTGCTAAAGAAATGGACGGAAATTCAGACAAATTCGTATCGTAGCGAATCAATACGGAACGTATCGCCAACCTGGAAGCTAAATTAGGCATTTCTCTATACCGTGATAGCCCAAAAATATCACGTCCCTTATTATTGTTCGCATGTTTTACTCTCACACGCTACAGGATGTCGCAAAATAGTGTTCCCACGCTTTGATTGTTTATAAAGCGTTTATTAATATCGTACAATTTGCTTTCAATGTTTATAACGAACTACGTAAAGTGTGGTAACACTTTTTGCGACGTCCTGTATATTGTGCTTCGATCTTATTCGGTGTTGATTAACGATATTGATAAAAAAAAGAGAAGGTGTCGCTCGCGGAACGTCATTCGGGGGCCAAGGCGAAGCATTCGAGCATCAAAGTATCGATACTCAGCAGATATCATGTATCCCCCGATTGCCAGGCGGATGGAACGGTAACCTGTTATTTGTCTTGCCGGCAGATTAAGATAATGGGCTAACGCGAAGCCGTCAGGCCGCACCATGCCATAACCAGCCGTCGGTCCGGGAAGGGCGAACAGGGAAGGACGAGGGGTCGGAGGGCACCAGATACGATGACCGGTGACCACGCGATCCCGCCGGACGCGAGCCGCGGGGGGGGGGGGGGGGNNNGGGGGGGGGGGGGGGAGGGACGCGATGTGAAAATTATCGTGCGAACCAATCGTCGAGCATGCGCCGGCGATCAGTTAATTCCGCGACACGAGGACGCGTGCACCGCGTGTGTGCGAGAAGTCGACGGTTTGTTCCCCCTTTCCCCTCCTTTCCTTTCCTTCGCAATTGCACAGAGCGAAATTTAAACGGAACAAAGAAATGAATTGTTAAGAAAATTTCCACACGGAGAGAGAATATTTAATTCTCTTTCCGTGCAAATTTTGCTTTTGATTTTATCCGTATTTCCTGCGCGGAGGGGATGAAAGATTGAGTTAACGCGTCTTGATTGAAACAGGAACGAGAAGCTCTGATTCTTATAATCGAGTTTCGGCTCGTGGGAACCGGAAATTTCATTTCCCTCAAACGAAAACGCGTTGAGTCCGTTCATCGGCACATTAATTCAATCACTTTTCTCCGCGTAAACTCCGTTATTATTAATGTCAATGATCCTCTAAGCCGCTATATTTGTGGAAAATTCAATGCTCATATGACAATCAAGATTTGACGTAATCTCTTTAACCGTTAATCTCTTGCGTCTGGTTCTTGGGATTTTCCAAACTCAGCATTGAACGTACATTCGTGCCCTGTGTACGTGCGAACTCGCAGTTTGCTCGTAATCATTTCTGCGCACGGTGACGTATGCCCGCGATTATCCTTTCGTACCGCGTTGCGCGTGAAACGCACGAGAAAGAGAGAGGGAGAGAATGAGGAAGAGAGAAAGAAAGAGAGGTTGGCGTTTCCGTTCTGCCAGTTTATCGCGTTGTAATAACGCAGGTTCTCAGCCGGGTTTCCTAGGAATATTTCGTGACCCGATCCGATTCGCGTCCCAAAGAAATTTCTTCGACTATTAACACCGCTCGACAACAAATTGTTCGTTGTATCTCGGGCGTGTTATTTCAACGAAGGAGACACGAAATGCCGCTCCGAAAAAAAGAGATATTTTCATACCGACTCGCACGCTACGCGCGCAAAATTCCGATCCCGATTTGCTATTTGGCCACGTTTTCGTAATTTATGTTGCATCATTCCGATACATTATTAGCTTAAATAATATTAGTTTAGATAATTAATTTGATAATGTTAATTCAACATCAAACAGCACGTATGATACGTTCGCGGTTCTCTACGTTCCCCGACATAGTTGGGCCAACGAGCGTTGTTTAACGACGGTAAATCAATCGTGGCGGAGTATCAATAAGAGCCAAGAAACGAAATATATCGAAATTTATAAGCGTAACAGCAATATATTTCACGTTACGCTCTTTATATATAATTCGAGATCCCGACGTCGGCGCTTTTTCCAACGGGAAGATAATCGCGGTGAGAGGTGAAAGAGTATAGTGCGAATTACGATGCGATCCGGCGATTTGTGGGAAAACGAATCGGAGAAAACGCATTTTACAACAAAGGATTAAGGGCCCAACTTATCGCACCTGGGGATACATTTAAGGGAAATTAAAGCGAACGATAAAACGCGCGACGTCTGCCAGCCGCATTTTTGCTCACGAGAGAATTCGCACTCAGGCCACGTGAGCGCAGTCAGAAAGTCGTTAATTCGTGGACACAGCGTATCGCGCCCGGCATACGTTCCATGCACGCGAGCCCGAGCTATTGTCTCCGAA